GGTGTCCTCACTGGGATGTGAACCAGCGACCTTCTTGCTGCGAGGCAACAGTGCTACCAACTGCACCACCTTGCAGCTTAAAATCAGCATCATCAAAATCACTTAATTCTAATGTTTCATTTTTAAAAATTGTTAAAAAAAAAAAAACTAACTAAATTCTGCAGAACACTTAAAATCCTAAGCTTGTGGACACAACTGAGAATATATGTGTGACTCAGCTGTCATCAACAGTAAAATCCACAAATCCATAAAAATTCAGAGACCTTAAAAACAGACAGAATCACCAGATGTTCAGCCTTCAGCCAGATGTCTGATGGCCTTCTATCGAATAGTATTTGACAAGCTATTAAGTCAGATAAATGAAGCAAATCTTAGCTTAAAATTGCTCTATTCTCCAAGTCGAATTTAACAATTTTGCAATAAACATGATTCTGTAGCAAACAAAAAACTCCCTGTTTGACTTGGCTGTGACCAACAGTCACACGATGAGAAATAACAGAAGTTTTCATCTGAACAGCAGGCAGAGAAGACAAAATCCTAGTCAAAAGAACTTAAATCTATATGCTTTAATTCAAAAATTGATTGAACAGTAACTCTAAAACTATTGAGGGAACATTACGGGGTCGACACACTGAGCTGTACGAATAAGACGGACTTGAATGGATCCTTTAACATCGTCTGAGGAGCTGAAAGTCGAGTGTTGGATGCAGGAGGCGTCGTCACGAAACAGCCTCGTTAGAGTCGTGCATGTGTAGTAATACATGGCGGCGCTGCACGTGCTGAAAACACGTGTTTTGCTCTGTAGTAGAACACAACAAACACACACACACACACACACACACACACACATATATATATATATATGTACACACACAGTAATGTGTGGGAGGTAATGCAACAGCACAGTCATCTGTCGACAGCTTCCTGCATATTTCAACTCGATGTTTCATTTTTCTTTGCATCCTCCTTCATCTTCTTCCTCCTCTATAATCTGTCCTTATTTACTCCTCATTGTGTGAGATCTGGTCGCTAAAGGATGGATGAAGGATGGATGAAGGATGGATGAGGGAGGAGAGTCGGGGGAGTCACGACGCTTCGCCACGTGTTACCGTCTGCATCCCCCCACCAGCCAATTACAGCCAGACTCCCCTCAGCTCAGCCAGCGTTTGGACGGAGGAAGATTCTGCATCATGTGAGGAGACACGAAGCAAATCCTCCTTTATTTTTTTCACACTTTCTCTGCTTTTCTGCTTCTCGTTTCATCTGCATTCCCTCGTCTTCTTCCTGCTTTTCACTGCCTCTTTCATCCAGCCACCAATTAGCAGATGCCTTTCGCAGACTCAGCGGACTGTGTGTGTGTGTGTGTGTGTGTGTGTGTGTGTGTGTGTGTGTGTGTGCAGCGACAGTAATCCAATCAAACACGCTTATCTGAGTCCGTCTCGCAAATGCTGATCTCCATCTACAAGGAGTTTAAAGTGAGCTCAGTCACAACACACGGCAGCGCTCCACTGCTGCTGTGAACAGGATTCCTCTTCACGTAAAGTGGTTCATTAATGAGGGGAAAAGGTGCATATTCTCTGAGATTAAGGTGGGACATAGAAAAGAAAAAAATGCAGATATTTTCTGAAAATGTAGTTTTATATTTTTGCAAAAAAAAAAAACAAAAAACAACTCACAAATCTGTAAGAAAAAAAATCTCACATTAACTACAATAAAACCACACTGACAGAGTTCAAAGTGCTAAATTTACATGAAAAAATCCACATTTATGATAAATTACGAGGAAAAAAAACAAGGATTTCCTCTGAGACTCAAGCAGTACATTTACGGGACAAAAGTAAAAAATGTATGAGAAAAAAGGGATTTTCTCTGCCAGCTATAAATAACTAATTAACAACAAAGTGTGATAGACTGGTGACCTGTCCAGGGTGTCCCCTGCCTTCACCCTGAGTCAGCTGGGATAGACTCCAGCCCCCCATGACCCTAGTGAGGATTAAGCGGTGTATAGATAATGGATGGATGACTCTTATTCTAGTCAAAAAATACGAGTCAAAAAACAAACAAAAAACCGACAAAAAAAACCTCCTTATATAAAGTCTGCTCCAAAAAGAGCTACAACATCATGATACCATCAATAAACAAGGTTTTTGCACAATAAACTTCCACCATTGCAGATAGCAATAATATTTGGAAAGTTGCAAATTATTGATTTTCTGTTGTTCAGAATTTGGTCTGTGTGTGCACATAACCAATGAAATTTCCCCTCCACCTGTTGTTAACTGTTTCAAAGGCATCAGGAGACACCTATCGTTCTTAGAGGCTCTTATGAGACCATCTCGCTGCTGGACGGTCACAGCCTATGACTTATGGCCATTTCTGTTGTCTTTTGTGTCCTTAAAGGTGTTTACAATGTGTCTCTAAAGGATTTGTAACATAGCAATTTGTGACATAAATCTCAGAGAAAATCTGACTTTATATTTCTCATAAATTGGTGAGTTTTATCTTCAAACGTCTTTAATGTCGGACTGTGTTGAGAGTAATGCTGAGGCTCCTCCTGCACAGTTCTTCTTCTTGGTATTCTTCTTCTTCTGGGATGAACATGACAATTCCTTTTTCTCATCACACGCACTTACAGATGTTTCCTCAGGATCTATTTTAAGAACGACTCGTGCCGACCTGCTGATATTTTTAACGACCACTGAAACGCTCAGTTTCATTAAAATGCTCCATAACTGCTCCTATATTTGAGACTCAGGAGCAGCTGCAGGATGTAACACAGCAACAATCATCATACCAATAATAATGTCTTTTTTCTATTTTTTTTTTCATCGTCTCCTTCTTCCTCCTCCATCATCATCCTCGTGACGCAGCAGCTGGTCAGCAGAAAACATGAGCTGAGCGAACAGCTGAAACCTCGTTTATTCACCTACAGAGCTCACTGAGTCTTCTCAGGTGAACTCGGATGTGAGTGTGTTTGTGTTTCATACCGTCAGAGTCGATGCTGTTCAGTGCCGTCGGGGGGATGATGGAGACTTTACATTGACCGAGGGGACACTTGCGAGGATACAGATCCATACAGGCTGTGTGCACCTGCAGCAGCAGCAACAACAGAGGAAACATTTATTATTATTTATTCTCGTTTTTTTATTTCATATACAACAGCAGTGACATGAAACCTCCCCTGTGTGAAGGAATGTCAAAGAAACAAGACGTAGGAAGGCTTTTACATGTCCGACGTTTGGATGTCTGCTTGTTTTTTAGGTGGGTCATTTAACATTTGATGAGAAGGCAACAGTGGAAACACCATGACCGAGTGTTAGGGCCTCGTTAGGAAAGAATTAAAATAAATCAAATTATGGATCTGTTGGTTGGGGTGGTACTGTTTGAGAAAAAAAATGAGACAGCAGTAATAGATTAAAAAAAAAAAAAAAAAAAAAAGCACTTACAAATATGTGTTTCTTCTCACAATTTTGTAAAATTTCATTTTGTACTTCATACTCAGAGAATATCCAGCTTAGTTCAGTTCAGTTTTATATCTCATAGCGCTGAACATAGTAGGGTGAAGACTTTACACATTTTAAACATCCACATGTTTCTCATAAACTTCAGGGTTTTTTTCTTGTAAATGTGCCTCTCTACTTCAGAGAATATTGATGTTTTCCTTGAAAACTGACCACTTTCATTTCAGAGAATTGCGCCGTTCTGTCTAGTGAATTTCTTAGATTTGTCTTTGGAATGAAACACTTCACAGAAATTCTCCATGTTTTTCTGATAAATTTGCAAATTTAATTTCAGAAATTGTGTCTTTTTTAAATTTACTATTTTAGAGTCAGAGAATATCCACATTATTCTTTTCGTAAATTAACCATTTTAATCTTAGAAAATAGTCATACTTTTTCATAAAAAAGTGACTTTTTTTTCATGTACATTTCCTCTTTTATTTCAGAGAACACCTACATTCTACATACACAGGTTTTATCTTGTAAAATTGATTTTTTTTAAATGTAGAATTTCCACTTTAATCTTAGAGTTTCAGTGGTTTTACTTGTAAATTTGAGAATTATTCAAGTGATGTTTTGCTAATTTTTTCAGGGTTTTTCTCCATAAATATAGTTTTTTTCTCCTCCATATAAATTTGCACTTTAATCTCCATTAAAGAATATCCATTTCTTCCATTTCTTTTCTTGTTAAATTAATATCTATGCTTTTGCTTGTAATTTTGTAATTTTTTTTTAACTTCTGTTCCACTTCAATCTAAAAGAATATCTTCATTTTTAGTCATATCTTTAAAAAAAAGTTGTTTTTTATTATGAACATATTGTTTTAAAGTGAATTTTTCCACAATAATCTCTCAGAATCTCCATGTTGTTGATTTAAATTTGTAATTTTTCCCTCCTGTAAATTTACTACTGCAATCTTGAAGATTATTGAAGCTTTTTTTCTTGCAAATTTAAACTTTAATCTTGCACATTGTCGATTTTTTCCTCAGCATACAACCTTCTTCTGCCAGCTCGGTTATGTCTTTTGCCTCCAGTGACTCTCTGAGGCTTAGTGTAGCTCTACAGTGATGTCAGTGAATGTGCAGCACAGTGCAGCAGGTGAAACAAGACGAGCAGCTCAACCAACAACTGCAGCAACAAAATAATGTTGCAAACAATTCATAAAAACACAATTCAGCTCAGTTCCAATCCAGATGATCAGGTCTTTGCTACTTTAATGGTATTTAGATGCTGGTATTGTTTACACAGTTTATAAGGTCTTACCATGGCTTTGCACCAGAGGCAGCGCCAGTCCTGCAGCCTCAACACGCTGCCGCAGGTTTTATCACAGACGGCACACTTGGCACTGACCGGCAGGTTTCCTTCCAGCCACTGATGAGGCATCGCGACCTGCAGGTTGGACACAAACTCAGTCAGAGCAACGCTTTTTGTTTTTTCTTGTAAATTTCCCTTTATTTACTTCAGTGAATCTGATGCAAACAGGAAACAGTTTGACATGAATTAAACAAGTTAAACTTCATCCTGATTGTTTTCAGACACTATTTTAAGTTTTTTTTGTGCTTTTGTAATTTAGTGTGATTTAATATCTCCTTTTTGGCATGTATGGTGTTGCAGCATTTCTGAAATAAATCAAATAAATCCTTTTTCTTGTTCCTGAACTCACCCCGTCCTCGTCCTCGATGATGTCCTTCCCGATGGAGGCCAGAGTCGTCCATTTGCAGTTGTTGGTGGCTCTGACAGCGCAGCGTTTGTGGGCTTTGAATTTACACACTGGAAAAGACAAAAGAGCAAATGCACAACTGAGTGGAATAGTTTGACACATTTCCCAGCAGCTATGACAACTCAGCATCATCCTGCAATATAACAAGTCAAATCAGCAGCAGCAGTGTGGTCAGAATGAAAAAAATAAAAGAAAAAAATATATTCTTATAAAGTCTTAATTCACACGAGGAACTCAGCAACTGTCTGAGATTATTTAAGCTTTCGAATTGAATTTTGTTTTTTATATTTTTTCCTTTGTAACAATGTTGCATGTCGGAAATAATATCAAATTAATCCAAAAAATCGAAACAAATTAAAGTGAACAATTTATTCTAATTTTCAAAAAAGTTGGAAAAACTGTATTTTTTGTGTTGGTTCTAACAAATGACTGGATTTATAATCTCAGAGAAGTCAGACGAGAACAGCATTGCATTGTACTCATCTACAAAGCATTGTTTGGAAAGTTACCTGAATATCTTACTTGTCTTTTTAATAATAGATCAACTTCTCATCAAACTAGAGCTTAAGATTTTATAGTCTTGGAAAACACACTCATTAAAACAGCAACCGGGAAACAAGCTTTTAAATGTTATGCACCCAAGTACTGGAACAAAATTCAAAACCTGTTGATAGTCTGATCCCATTAGACAGGTTTAAGGCCCTGCTGTCCAACATGGAGCCGTATGAGGGTCGCTGCTTTCCTTCATTTAACTTTTTGGTTTTTCTTCTCAAAAATCGACCTCTTCAACCTCAGAGACATTTCATCTACGAAATTCTTCACATTTTTTCTTGTGAATTTACCACATTTTAATGCATCGGTTATTTTTGGCACTAAAGAAAATGTAAAAATTGGGTTATTTTCTGTTATTTCTAACAAATTATTGATTACAATCAAAAGGTTTTTCCCTCTTAAATTGGTGAGCTTATTTGTTTTAATTTACCACTTTATTCTCAGAGACTGTCCAAGCTGTATCTCGTAAATCAAAGTTTTAAGATTTTTTATTTACTAGTTTTTCCTTCTACTTTTGTCTTTAAAGAAGGATCTTTGTCACCTTCAAAGAGATTTTAACCAACGACAAACAAAAATCACCAACAGCAAAATAGTTAGAAATGAGAAAAAACAAACAAAAAACTTTTTAACAGTCATTTATTTCCCAAAAAACCTTCCTCAGATTCAATTAAAAATTACACAAACACAATAACTCGAAAAAATGTGGGTTTTTTTTTTTTTTTTTTTTTCTTCTTACAAATAATTGACTTTGTAAGTTTAGAGATATTTAAGTTTTGTCTCATAAATTATTCAATTTTTTGGTATTTTTTTCTTTTACTTTTTAAATGACAAAGAATATTCAAGTTTCTTTTTGTAGATTTGTGAGTTTTCTTTCTTCTAAATCTGTGAGTTTTTTCTTGTCAATTGTTCACAGTTTTTCCTGCATAGAGGAACCTTTCTCACTCCTCCAAAGTGATTTTATCCAACAACAAAGAGCATCACTGGTGAAAGAATGATTCAAACTGAGAATAACACAATTGTTCCTTTTTTTGTTTTTTAAATAACAATTTCAGTCACTTGAGCAAATTAACATTTTTGTTGATGAAATGATCGGAAAAAAATAAACAAAAAACAGGAAAATACACTGAGTTCTAAAAACAAGGTAGCACAGAGTCATTGACTTTAGGGTACGTAGACAGATCATGTTTACCATCATGTATGTTCACCACCCAAAGGCCCACATGAAGCAACACTTCACTTTAACCTACGTGACAGAGAACGCTTGTATTTCTATAAATGTCAAGACAAAAACACTTCAACCTGCAACCGCAATCAAACCCTGAACGCAAAACATTCAAGAAAATAAACTGAAAATAAATTCAACGAGTCAATTCCTGTCCACAGACTGAACATCACTGGACACTGATGCATGATTCAGGGAGCGACACGCCCAGAAGCCTGCAGAGTTCTAATGAATCAAACCTTAATGAGACGTCAGCGAGCGTAATTACAAACTCTGCTCCGCTGATGGATAGAAGCAGAGTCGGAATCCATTTATCTGCCCACAGCAGCACAAAGTCTGACAAACGAAGAAGAACAACCTGCTCCCCCCTGGACATGGTGATCCAGCTCCATGTGAGAAGCTGCTGCAGGTGAGAAGCTGCATTTCAATCCTCAACACAAACCCTCCACTGACTCGAAGCAGTTTGAACACTATGTGTAAGAAATCACCAAAGGAACAGCATTTATCAGCCACAAACTATATATATATATAAACAGAATCTGTTTTCAACTTTCAGTCAACCAAATCAAAGCTTTATATTTTATTTGTTTTTATTCTGTCATATTTAAAAATATTCCAAAATAAAGTCCACTTTATTTATTTATGTATTTTTTTTTTAATCAGTGTAGATGGATAGCCGACTAGTCTTCAAACATGCTTAACATTCTGAACCACCAGACAGTTTTAGGACATTGTTTGTTTGCTTCTGTCTCCTTTTCACTTTCCGAAATCATAGACAATTTTAATTTAAATTGATTAATTTGAGAAAACAGTGGAAGTTTCACGGGCTGTAAGGTGGAGCAGTGTTTAGCATCGTCGAAGGT